AAAAGAAACTCATCACACACCACTGGGGTCCGGTGGCTGTCTGGCCTCCTGTCTCAGTGCGAAAGTTGAGCCCACCCAGCTTCCTCTGTGCTTTGCCTCTGATAACCGCCACACTTGTTTGTTCCGTCCCCCTCCCCCAACACCTAAGCTCAAGCAGCCCCCAACGCTGGAGGTGTGGAGGCTGTTTGCGCAAGTCAGAGTCAAAGGATGGTTAACATGTGAAGAAATGACACAAACTGCATTCATGTTGTTTGCAGTCAGGGGCAAAAGTCGTCTACAATACCATTAAAAAGATATAGATGTTCACAGATAGATTTCCCTTAGTTTCACCATTCTGCACATCTCAGAATAATAGTGGAGATGTCAAACTAAATATTATAAACAACACGTGCAATAAGAATGTGATCATAAAAGTGTTAAACAAATTAAAATGCCTATATTTTAGAATCTCCCAGGGTAGACACCATTTGCCTTGATGAAACTTTATACACTTTTGCTGTTCTCTCAAGCAGCTTCATGAGGAGCTAGGTGAGAAGCTTGAAGAAGCTCCACATACATGTCCAAAAGTTTCTTATTAGTGAATTCAGCTGCATTAAGGTACACTCACTGCTGACACAGGAGTTCAAATGTACACACAGCTTGTATAGTCTTCATAGAAAAGCACTGACAATAGATCAGGATGCTCTTGAGCAGCCGCACATGAGCCCAAGGTCACCATGTCCAATGCCAAGCATAGGCTAGAGGGGTATGAAGCCCCCCCTCAGCATTGAGCTGCGTTCTCTAGAATGATGGAGCAACAAATACCTTTCGAATGAGTTGGAGTGGCGTTTGTGATCCAGAACTAATCATACAACATCAATACTTGATCTCACTAGTGCTCCTGCTGCTAAACGCAATCAAATCCTCACAGCAATTCCAACATTTAGTGCAACCCCCTTCCCCAGTAACAGCAGCAGAGGGGGACAAACTCCTTTTCAATACTTTTGATTTTGGAAGAAACATTGGAGGAGCAGGTGTCCACAAATTTTTGGCCCTATAATGTACACTGAAAACAACAAAATTAATTTTGTTCTTTAACTACTTTCATACATAGGCACCAACTACACCAGTTACATTTGTTTTAGAAACATTTTCTTATGAAAAACATTCAAATAGATGTATTCAAACTTGTAAATGGTAGCGTACGGTTGGTTTCATCTCCTGCTTTTTGGCCTTTTGTTGACTGGGCACCAAAATCAGGCATTTAACCGTAAGGCATTTAACTTTTCAGTAGGGATGCACAATGATATCACCATTACATCGAAAATTCATCGGACAGATATCCAGATTTGAGTGATATTTCATGACATATTTATTGTTCTTCAGAAGAACACTGGGCCACTGTGCTAAAATGTCTGTCTTTTATTCAAGATTTGCACATTTTATAAAAAAAATGTATGTATTGGCATCACCAGATATGTACATAAAAACAGCAGACATTGGTATTGGCCCCCAATTCCCATATCGGTTCACCTCTCCACCACAATGTTCACATTGGGCATATAGATTTTAATGCCTGACGACAAATATTCAGAGGTGTCCTTTTGGGCATTAACTATATCTTTCCTAATGTGTCATCACTAATACTTTGTCCTGTTTATTGCATTAAAATCTGTCACTAGAGTAGTTGGTGCACATAGTTGGTCCATGCTGGGCAGCAAAATGAATCAACATATAGAACTGGAGCTTTGTGTCCATCACTGTATTTTACTATCCATATATAAAAGAAGCATGATGCTGCCTTTACTGGCTTATTAATGACCTTTTTCATCAGAATAACTATAAAAGGTGACTGAAGTGTGAAGTATATTTCTATTGATTTATTTGCTTGCACAAACAAAATAAAATCTAGGAATGTTCAGCTTTGTTACATCATGTTCTTTAGATATCAAAACAAATGTGATAACAACCTTGAGTAATGTCATTAAAGAGGAGCAGATTGTCAGACAAAGTCAGACACAGCTGCTTTTAGCCTCTACATTAACCCCTTAAATAGTCAGGACTTTTAAGCTGGTGGGTTCAAACTTCTATTACACACAATTTGCAGTGTAGTCCATTTAGTTACTAATAAGACCTGGGATGTAATGAGCCTGGCATTTAAAGGGTCCAAGGGTTAAAAAAAAAAAAAAAAGAATTGGTTTGTTAAACATCCACTGGATAAGTGGGCAGGCTTTTAATCACACTATTAGAATAAAAGGTTCCACTACAAGAGTAGGGATTTCACCCAGTGACAGAATGTGAAAGCTCACAACAGTCCCCCAGCTAGGAAAGCACCTTCCTTTCTTAGTAGTCAAAGTAGTCAAAGGGATTCTGAAGAGAGCTTGTTTTTCTTACGCTGACTCAGTAATATGCAACATCCACATTGACCATGGTTAGATAACATGGAAAACAACAGATATGTATCAGATGTACCAAAATCTTTTGGATTTTGGCTGCCCATCTAAATGACTCCCCTTAAATGAGAAAAAATCAATGTCATATGGTCTATAAAAAGAGCCACAGAGGTTTAGTTCATGTTAATGTGTCACAAAACATGTCTTATTGCAGTGTTCTGAAATTTCATTTTCTTTTTATACATAAATTAAAAGCTGACTTCCTGTTTAATGCCCTGATTTTTCAGCTTTGAGAACCAAAACATGGCTCTAAACATATTCAGAGTCTAGATAATTAGGCCTGTGGAGGATCTAAAAAGGCTGTGGAGAATCTACAAGACTTTCAAGTCTCTTTAGAAGCTGCTGTTTCGGAGGCAACTGCAACAACGACAATAAGGTTCACACCAGCGGTTACCCAAAAGAAACAGGTCATCAAGCTAGCGCTGCTGTTTGTTTCATTTCCTGGCCCAGAGCAAGTAATAACCAATCATTTTCTGTCTGGGGTATTTCAGAGAAGCGATCATACATCTACAACAGCTACCTGTGATAGCTGATTGTGTGACTGATTGTGAATATGACCAGTGCCAGTGCATGAAGTGCTTGTAAACTCCACGAGCATTCTGCCCAAGCACCTAATCATGCTAATATGAAACTGATGGAGAGAAATGCCTCTGTTGAAACAAGAGAGCCCCAACCATGTAAATAAGTGCAATTCACAATTTATCTTTTTTGTTTGCAGTGAGCAGCCATTAAATTACTACACTATCAGAAAAAAAAATACAAAACTGTCACTGAGGCAGTACCTCTCTTCATTGGGGTGGTACCCTCAAGGGTACATCTCAGTACCTTTAGTCAGGGAACCTAATTGTACCATAATCCATTGAAATTATATGTTCTAAGTTGTACTGACTCCACACACCCCGTCTCGTCTCCAGGCTTCTTATTTTATATTTCTGTTTTAAAATATTAGATTATGAAAACATACAAATATGTACTTTTCACCTGGAAAAACCTATTTAAGGTACACAATTGAACCTTAAAACCACTGTTGTACCTTTGAGGATACATTTACATTGTTTGTACCTTCATGAACGAAAAATGTACCTGAACAGCACCTTTATTTCTAACAGTACCATAAAAGTGACCAACTTTACTGATTACCTTGCTTGTCTCCTGGCTGTTGATAATTAGTGAACAGAAGGCAGACGCCACTTCAGCTCAAATAAACAAACATTACTCGCTGCCCCCCTTTAAAGGTCTTTTTAACAAGCACGAAATTAACAAACATTACTCACTACTATCTTCTAAAGGTGATATACCACCAAGTCAGAAAATGCATTTTCTGCTTTCCTCAGTTTACACGAGTACATCAACCCAACTCAGCCAATTCGCATTTTGTTTGATTGCAATGTACACATATGGCAGTGAAAGCTAACAACTGTGGAAAATAATTATGATTATGTGTGTAATAACTGTAATTGGTAGACTGGTTATTTATTTCTTAATAAAGTACTGAAAGGACTGTTGGGTTTTTGCTTGTACTTTGCAGTTGCAGATTTGTATGGGTTTTAGAGCATAAGTGAAGAAATGAGTAGTGATATGACCTTTTCCAGGAAGCAATGAGTAAAGTAATCCCATTACATTTTAACCTCTTATTCTCCAGGGTATATTTCGGTTTGTCCATATGACTCAGTAACTGCATGAAAAAAATGTCAATTTTTTTAGTTTATTTTATTTTGTTTTAAAAGCTCCCCTCAAATGAACAGAAAATGTGTTTTATGATCATACACATATTGCTATATGCTTACAATTTACTGCTGAAAGCCAAAAATCTTAGACGCTCTTTATATTATTTTATAAAAATAATTTTTACAGAGTATATCACTGAAGAGATGCCATTTGAGCTCAGATTTGTGAAAAAATGGGTCAACTTCTTTTATTATACGAGTTTAAAATTACATTACCCATCTATTTGACTGGAAAGAAGAAAATTACAGCTCTCATATGACACCCACTTTCATATTTTTTGAATATGAAAGTTATGAAGAATATGACGAAGTACGTTTTGGAACCAACGGTGGTCTCAAGTAGTTGAAGAGGTTAAGAGAAGTAATTAGAAATTTTCAATCAATTTGTCACTGGATTCTAGCTATCCCTTAAAATCAGACTGGTCCCCGCTAAGGGCAGAACTTTTAGCATCACAGCCAGTAAACTATGTAAGTCTTTATCACAATCCTTTTAAGTCTGCTCTTCTCAGTCTTCCCAGCTTAAAACAATTCTCTTTTTCTCAGTACTTTAACCGTCCTGGAACTGGAACTTTTACATGGTTGTTGTTGTGTATGTTGCTTCTAAGTGACCTTAGGGTTGGCAGTGGTGCTATATGATTTGAATTGGTTCAGTAAACTGTACCATACATAAGCAGACACAGGTGTATTACCTATAGGAGGACAGAAATGTAACCCTAGGGAATGCCTTGAAGCTAGAGGAACCTCCAGCAGTCCAGGTGTGCCTTGCACTAGGCCGGTTGTCAAGGTGCCGTCACCATGCTTACGTGCTGTAATATGACACTAAAGGAGGGAGTGGTGAAGTAAGAGGGGGATGGGTGACGGTGATAGAGAGAGCAAGAGAGAGAGAGAGAGAGAGAGAGGAGAGACTGATTTTCATAGGACAACAGCATTATTGGTGCAGCTAGAAACAGGCTTTTCAGGTATAACCCAAAACATTTACCAACACCCTTGGGGTTTCTAGACAGTTGCAACCATACATACAGCAAACAAGTGAGATCAAAGCCACTACGTAGTGATCTCATAGTCAGCGGTACGAAAGGCAATGCTCATCAAAAGCACTGATGAAGCAGTTACTTCTACTTCAGGTAATGCTGACATCTACTGATCTCACTTATTAACATTACTGCAGGAGGGCTTTCTACTCAGTCTAGGTGTTCTAGATGGTTGTTTCTGAACTTTTACGCTATTGCGATATGAGCTGAAAATGGAAATTGTACTTACTTTGATGATCTTTTGAAGGATGCTGGATATCATGGTTTATAATCTTCAGATGAAATGTCTAGTTCCACTGGTTCAGCTGTTTAGCATATTAAGTATGATGCTGAAGTGTGGAAAATCTTTAGCGTGTTCTGAGAAAAATTTGTTGACAGACTGCCTCACTTTGCTTTGTTGATGGGTCTGCTGGGGGTGTAGTTTCATGTGTTGCTTTAAGCTCTATGAAACTGAAATATATTGTTAAATGTTATGCTTACATTACAAAATCTAAATAGAGTATATTGCAATATGTTGTCATTGCATACATACATACATACATATACATATATATATATATATATATATATATATATATATATAGTTGGGCAATACGATACTTAACATACTATGATGAACTGTGTCACAATAAGTGTTTTTCTGCATACTGTGAATACTGTCAGTACCTAAAGAATAATGACCAACTTCATGTTTTGTTATAAAGAGAGCATAGTTAGTACTGTTTAACTGGACTTATTGAAACATGGAATAATATTCAGTATATTATATATATACAGTATATTCAAAAGCATTTGATAGTATTATTTTTAAATGTGGTTCTTTTTAATCTGTTCCAGCGAATAAAATCTCAGAAAAACTAAGTATCATGATGCATATTAAGGTGAATTTTCACCTTAATATGCATCATGATACTTAGTTTTTCTGAGATTTTATTCGCTGGAACAGATTAAAAAGAACCACATTTAAAAATAATACTATCAAATGCTTTTTATACTTTACAATATCAAATGCTCATTATACTTTCTTCACATTAACAACCACTACATTATATTTTTGGCATGAAACCCCTTTAAACTTCAGGCTTCAATTCAGTTGTTCATCTTAAAACTAAATATTCAGTAAATACAATAAATAATTTGTTAACTACTATAAAACTACTGTGTAAGTAACGTAGTTATAAGAGTTTGTAAATTGAGTACGGACTCACATACAGTCCCTTGCATTTGTCCATGCGCCACTGGATATCATTTATTGTTACCACTACTGATTAAGCAACACAGTCTTGGTTGTGAACTTTAATCTGCTCATTTACAGCTGACTCCTATTAATGGACAGTCTTGTTAGAGCCATAAACCTGCACCATTACAGCTCCAAAATAAACTGATTTTCTTTAGTTTGTCAAATCAAAGTGATGTTTAAACTATTATAAAATTGTATTTAAATAAAGTGGGTCTGGTGTCGTTGAAAAAAAAACGAAAGCTTAACTTGACTTGAGCTTTCTCCAACTCTGACCCTTGTCTAACATGTATTCTGAGGGCTTCTGGTTTGGTTTTGTTTCCATTGTCGGCACTGCCATCCATTCTCTGAGCCTTTCTGCCATCCTGTCTGCAGCTGCTGTTTCTACCCACTCTCGTCTGGCCTGACGTCAACAAGACACTTCCTTCCTGTTTCGTGCATGGTGTGTCTACAGTGAGAGATAAGGGAGTGCAGCTAGAGCAGACATGGAAAGAGAGAGAAAATGTTGTTTACAGAGTCTGGAAACAGCACGGTGACGGCTGTGAAGGGAACGGAAAGCAAATGTTAGTAGATACTGTTTTGAACTGGGATGTAACATTTACTCTACGTTTTCATCTGTTGATCAGAAGGGGTACGTAGGAACCAAAGATGAAGAAAATGCATAATGTATTTACTTGTTCATCCTTTGAACGATGGTGGATATTCGTAGAATTGGCATGATTGCGAATAGCGCACCGAGGTGATCTCGGGAGCCAGAACTAACCTGCAGTGTTCCTCTATCATAGGTTGAGAGTTCCGGTCCTGTATCACCATTGGCAACAACTTCAGTCAGCCAGCATCGAAGTGAACCCACAAGTGCTTCTTCGATGGTATTGCAACATGGATCTTCAGACAGACCGCCCTTTATTAGGCCTTAAAGGGGCCTGCACGCTGAACTAGGCCTTTTGGAACTGTAACTAGTCTCTGTACCCTGGAAAAGGCTTGCTGTGATGACACTATAGAACTCCCACTCGTGTTCATTATGGCCGCTGTAGTTCAGCAGACCGAGAGCGCCTGGGAGGGTGCAAGCAAGCAAGATGACGACAGTTTGCAGGTAAGCACCATTAATATCATTTCGCTTTAGGTCTGTCCATGCATTTGGGTACTTCCAGGAGGCTATTCAAAGTAGGTTTGACATAGCCAAATGCCCCATATGGAAAAAAAGGCAGAGAAGGTTGAAAAAGTTGAGAACTCATTTCTATTGTTAATTATTCATGTGCTGGTTTACTGTGTGGGATACATTTATGAAAGCTGTGAGTGACCCTGATTCACTCAACCCACTTCTATTATGGAACAAGCTAATGCTGTCGACAGAGAGAGAAAAAAAAAAAGATTTTCATGCCGTGCTATATCGAGAACTGTCTGACACTTCAGCCATAATATTACAGCTTTTTTTCCCCTCCATGCTATCTGCAGCTGGCAGATCCATCAACTTTCCCAGCGGTAATTGTGGAGCAAATGCCACACACCCACCTCCTCAACTACTCGGGGCTGACTTGTGAGCAGCCATTGACAGGTGGTCACCTAGAAACAGGGCTGGAGCAAGAGACTGTGGAGGACCTACAGCAACTGACAGGTGAAGTACAATTTCCGCTCAGGTTTCAATTTAAGTCCTTGTAATTGTGTTTCAGTTCGTCATATCAGCCTCTGACAGTGAGGGCCCAATCTCACAGGCAGCGTGAATGGGTGCATGTGCACAAAGTGCTAAAATTCAGGTCATGCTCTGACATGCATAATTTGCATATTTTAGGCGAAGATGTAGGCTATTGAAACTCACATTGGGACTCCCTTCTGCTTCACAAGTTTTAATAATAATAATAATAATTTTAAAAATTAATGTTAACTTAATGCTTTCTTTGAGGTGTAGACTAGGATGTAGGATAAGTAACCCAGCTTTGAATGAGCTAGCAATTACATTATTTTTCCTTTGCAGAGTCTACACTCCCCTCCAGAACCATTTCATAGGTTTTTATTTCATGAAAATGCTTTCACATTAACTTTTTGTTGGTTCAGATGTACGCCTTAGGACATAAACCCTGATGCAAGTGAATTAGCAGTGAAGTTATTTTTCTCTTACACTCTCTTCAGTTTCCCTTTAAAAAACATTTTCTTCCAGGCTTTAATATGTTTTCCTGTTTGATGTGTAGGCTAGGATCTGTCCAGCTATATCTACATTTCTCTCTAAAATCATTTCCCTCAAGCTTTAAATTAAAAAAAAAAAGGAAAAAAGAACAAGGTTTTCAGGTGAACTTCTTGTTATTTAAGGAATAAATTTCAGGTTTTCGTATTTGAGATATATTTAATATTTCATATTAACTTGCTCAGTGCATAGGCCAGGATGGCTACCAGTGAAATTATCTTTCCCCAGACACCACAGACTACATTTTCCTCTACAATTGTTTTATTTAAAGTTTAATTTACTGAAAATACATATATAACTCATTTTCACATTAACTTGCTTGTTGTGCAGGCTAGGACAAAGCCAGTTAATAGTGAGCTAGCAGTTACGAAGGATCTATTGTTTTTTCCACCTCAACATTTCCCTGCAGAGTTGTTTTCCTTGAATTTTAAGAAAAAAATTAAATTAAATTAAATAATATTTTAAGGTTAAACATTAACTTGTTCCAATGCTAGCAGTTAGATTATTTCCCTCTGACCACTGAGTCTACACTTTCCCGTAGAATTGTTTTCCTTGCTTTAATTTTTAAAAGGGAGATAAATGTATACATTTTTTTAAAAAAGAGAAGAAAACAAAAATGTTTGTTTTCTTACAACAATGTTTTTTTACAACAATGTGTGTGTGCTTGAATGTTAACTATCAGCTAGCAGAGATGTTATTTTTCCCACACAGGCCTTGTTAACTTTCAATACATCCCCTTGTGTGTTTACTCTACGTGTTATCTATTTAATAGCTAATAAATTAATTATAATAAATTAGCTATTAAATAAAGAAAGTAAGTTTTCACATTTCTGCATGTGGCTGTTTGAGTCCACTCACCAGTCCGTGAACTAGCAGTCAGGTTATTTTCCTCTCAGACCTCAAACACAGGCCCACCTCTCACGTGGGCCGCCATGAAGGAAGCCGCCTGTAGCACAATGCTGATGTCCACCATGGTGGGGATGGTGGAGGGAGGGAGCCAGGAGCTGCTCGACTGCAGTCGAGCCGAATATGAAAACATTTAACCCGCTTTTAAACTTCCAATTTTCGTCTAAACTTCAGATCCTCCGCACGTTTTCCAAGTACCGAGCTGGCGAAAAGTAAGTTTTGCTTGTGTATTCAGGGTGAGAGCACTTTCACGTTAGTTGGCTAACTCAGCTGTATGTTGGGGGTGATGACTTGGTTAGCTGGGTTTCTCTGTTTGTAGCCCACCCCGCGCATGAAATCGGGGATATACCACGTCTTTAACACACCGAGGCACTGCTACACACTGTAGCTAACTCTTAACACGGCTGGAGGAGCTGATAGGCAATTTTTGTCTTCTTGTTGTTTGTTTGGTAGCTACTGTATGCTAAGACCTGTTAGCCTGATAGCTGCCATAGTTCTCATAGTTGTCGCTTATCTCAGCTTGACGTGTTCCTCCCTCAGGTCATTGAGCTCTGGCCACTCAGTTTTCACGAAGATGTGTAAATTTGAAAGAGTTGACAGAAGGGGAACTGAAAAGGTTGATGGTTGAACGCTAAACGAAATGACAAAAAGCACACTTAAAGGGGAATACCACCGATTTTTCCTAAATGTCTGCATAATTAAATGGTTGAGATGTAAACAGAGTCATTCAGAGAGATTTGATGTGAAATGCTCCATTGTACAGAAACTTACCTAGTCAAAATTGTTCACAGTGGTAGTGATAGGAACCAGACGTCTGAAGAGTTTAATGCCTCCTGAAGAGTTTAAGGCTCCCTCACAGGAAGTTACAATATGATACATGGTTACGAATATGCTGATTGATGTCCCAGACATTGTTTTACAAAAGTTTTGAGGTAAGGATTTGGCCTAAAACTAAATTTAAAAAGAGGGATACATGTATGGTGCTGTGTGGCAAAGTAATCCTTAAAGAAAAAATACTTTTTCCAGATTTATCACTATTTGACCACAGTCAACATCTCATATAAAAAATCAGAACACATGTAGGTTCCCTGCTCATTTTGGATAGTAAATAAAGTTGCAGTTTTTATGTCGTAGACATTGAAACCCCTGGTTCCTATAACCACCACTGTAAAGAAATCAGAAAGTTGGCAGGTTTATCTACCACGAATCATTTTATAATTTTGTTTACATCTTAATGATTGAATTATACAGAATTTTTGAAATTGGTGGAATTCATTTTATAATAATACATAAGAGTGATGTCTATGTTGTCAGAAGAGACAGCCAAAAGTTTTTGGTTTCACTGTATTTGAAAATAGCATTAGCACTGGCCACTCAAGCATGTTGTCAGGTGGCTTTGCTGCATTTTTGTATTTTTGTCCTGTGAAACTGGCAACTGATATGTTGCTTTCTGTTTAACCTCCAGTGGAAGCATATCAGAGTGGTAATGAGGATACTGTGGAGACGGCAGAAGCTGCAGAAGCCTTGCTGAATATAGACTCATCAGGTCCACTGTCCCTGGATGAGAAACATTTCTGTGAGTAGATGGGGTTGTTAAGCTTCTTCCTTCTTAAAAGTTCTTCATCCTCCAGGGGTTCACTTTCTTACCTTTGTGGAAATCTTGTTTCAACTGGAATGTTGATCTATATTAAACATTTTCTTAATGTTTTTATGGATACTTTATTATAAAGGGAAATTCAAAATTTTTCAGACTTTCTGGATAAATTAACTAAAGATAAAGTCATTCAGAGTGGTTTAATGTGAAAAGGCAATGTGGAGAAATCTAGCAAGTCAAAATTATCCACAGCAGCAATTGGAACCAGATGTCTGAAGCGTGTAATGCCTTTAAAAGCTACCTCATGAAGTTATTACAAAAATTGATAAATATTTCCACCGGTGCCTGAGACATTGGTTTTTAAGTTTTGATGTAAAGTGTTAGAAGTGCTTTAAAGGTGAAGAGGTACATGCAAGCTGTTCTTAGGCAAAATAGTCCCCAAAGAAAACTTTGCATTGACATTGTGACCCTGGTTCCTATCAGCACCACTGTAAAGAAATCTTGAGTGGGAAAGTTTCTCCACAGGGCACTGTTTCCCATTAAATCACTCTAATTAAATTTGCTTACACAGTTCAACATTTAAATTATGTAGAACTTTGGAATATATTTGAAAAGCAGTCAAATTCCCTTTTATGTTTTTCTCACCACAGTCCTGAAAGTTATTCATTTTATTTGTTTTTTCTTCTTCTTACCACATAGCTCACATATTTTTGACCTCACCTCTGGGAGATGGTGCCCACATTCTGGCGGATAGTTTTGTTGGACAGCAACAGCGGTTTCAGAAAGGCATCATAGAGGAAAACAAGCCAAAGGCTAAGAGAGGTGACTTGAAACTATCAACCTCAAACAGTTTCTTAAGATTAAAATTAATTAGTTTTCTAATTTGAGCCCAGCTTGTTTTGTTGTTATTAATACATGGTGGTACCTTTTTATGGCTCTCAGGTAGAAAACCAAAACGACCAAGGCCACATTCACCAATGCCTGACATTACTGTTAAGAAAAGCAAGGACAGCAAAGGTGAGAACCTTTTTTTTATTGCAGTTCATTATGGTTTCTATTGATGAAACTATTTGAGAAATATTTGAGAATATTTGAGAAATCTTGACTTGCCTCCAGGAAATACATTGTACCTTTGGGAGTTCTTGATTGCTTTGCTGCAAGACAGGAATGCCTGCCCCAGGTACATCAAGTGGACCAATCGGGAAAAGGGCATATTCAAACTTGTGGATTCCAAGGCTGTGTCTCAGTTATGGGGCAAACACAAAAACAAACCTGACATGAACTATGAAACAATGGGAAGAGCACTGCGGTAGGTTTCTTTGTTTTTTTACTTTTCTCTTTCCGTGCTTGTTGTTTACTTGTTACCTTCATTATGTTAAATGTGGGTGCTGTTTGCCTCTTTTGCTTTTAATAGATACTACTATCAGCGTGGTATCCTGAATAAAGTTGAGGGACAGAGACTGGTGTATCAGTTTGCAGAGATGCCAAAAAACATTGTCTACATAGGAGATGACGATGACAGCAGCGGTGGTAAAGATAATGGCGTTCAAAATGAGGATGATGAACATCCCTCCAGTGACCAGAGCTTTAACTGCTCCCCTCCCCCCCAACCAAAACTGTTGCCTTCAAACAAAGTGCCCTCTCAGACCACAAAAGGCCGTACGATGGTCAACGGTAGCCAGCGTGGAGCGGTCCAGCATGGTGTTGACGCAACAGGCACCACCAGGGCCGCTCGTCCGTTAGGTCTTATCCAGCAACAACATCTGCCCATTGTTTCTGCTGAGATGTTGAGGACTCTCCAGAACGTTCAGTCCATCCAGCCAGGTCAACATGGTTCAGTCTTTCGCACTGCTCAGCTATTGGAGAGCCTCCGTGAGAAGCAAGCGACCATGGAAGTACAACCGGAACAGCTGGAGGTTCAGGCCGGCGAGGGGCAGGCAGACAGCCAGGCTACTCAAATTGTTACGCTGCAGCTGGTTCCAGTAACACCCACTGAACAAGGAATGGATGGGTCTGTGTTAACCTCTCCTCAGTTCATTATGCAAGCCATTCCAGACTCCGAGGAGGTAACCCTTGTTTTGCAGGATGTTGCCTTGGACGAGTCTTCGTCGAATCCTAGCCAAGATGAACCCACCCACTGTGAGGTGGTAACAACCTCTACTTCAGGGTCAGGTGGTACCAGTACCTCAGTGGTGACGTTTGTTGGAGGAGGGCAGCAGCTGGTGACTCAGCCTCCTGGTACTGTTATCCATTCCGTTGTCACGGCAACAGAACCAAAACACATCTCAGGTCAAGTAGGCCTAGACCCAGAACCCAAAGAACTTTCTGAGACCACAGAGCTAAGTGAAGCTAACCACTCCCAAGATGTGCACCATATTGCAGATATGGGCATGGGGAGCCCCTCTGAAATGAAGATGGAGCCCCTAAGTGTTGTCATCATTAATGACTCTTGGGTGGGTTACACTTCCAACAGTGAGTCTGTGGAGTCTTCAGGCTAAGCTCAGGCAAGATTTCGGAGTGAACCATCATTTTTCCAACACCATAAAGCCTTACTCATCACATTCCTTTGGGACTTGTACATGCACTGGAATTTAGTCACTCCTCTTTTTTTCCCTTGTTTCTTGCACCATGTTTGACTTGCTATGCTATGAAATCTTTTAGGTTGACTTGATTATGCAACTTATTCTCATTTTGAATCCTTTTTCTTCACGTAAGTGCCCTAAATAATGTACTGCAATGTTATGCCTCAGGGTTGTACTGATGATGTCAGTTATGTCGCCATGAAATAAAAGGCCAATCTCTTTTAAGAGATCTATCACAAATGAATGAAATGACCGTTTAGCTGTTAAACCTAACTGCAACTACTGTATTTGAGAGGAGATAGGAAGGAGTTAATGTAACCTCAATTAGCAAACTCATTACTAAAACAACTTCACAGCTTTTTAGTTTTTTTCTTTTTAAATAGTGATACTGTATGTCGTGCACAACAGTATGGACCAATCATGCAGTCATGTCATATGATTACAATCATATTGGCATATCGTAACAAAGACCCTGTCTATTAAAAAAGACCCCATTCTTACCTGGACCAAATACCCAACTTTGCTATGCATAGTAATAAGGCATGCTTTATTTTTGATATATTTATTTCAAATATTGCCATATTTTTTTATTCTCAAAACCTGATATACATCAGGATATTTAGTTTTTCTGGGGCATGATAAGTTGAAACAGACAGAAAAGAACCTGTGAAGCCACATTTTAAAATACTGTCAAAAACTATGAATACAATGACTTTTATTCAGTGATCTGCATACTGTGCTGCACTAAATCTAAATAAATAAGACTAGTGGTGCTCCCTTTTTAATAAACGTGCAGTTGTTGCTCTTTAAATACTGATGACATCCATGATATACTCAGAAAGGCATATTGTGACATAATTTGATGTAATATATCAAGATGGCAATTATTATCGTATTGACCACTCCAAAGCGTAATGTGATCTCAAGTAGCTACAGCACTGCAGTTTAATATTATAATATTATTATTAATATAAATCTTTTCCCATGCATATTTCAAAAAGGTTCAGCATTGTTTACTGTAGCTGTTGTCTCAGTCTATGTTAACATTGAGCTACATGCCTGAACTCCACAATAACTCTCTGTTTCTCAGCTTTGGGTCCAAGGTACTTAGAGATCTGATTATTTTGCATATTTTCCATCTTGATGAAAACATATTCCATATTGATTCCATATTCTTTTTGTCTGCATACATTCTTAAGTAAAAATTATATAATTTACCTGAGTCACAAGACTTTTAGGCTTAACGTAAATCAATCTATGACCAAAAAGAGAAGGATTCCTGCTCTGACATTTCTTTTGTATATGCCAGCAATTAAGTCTGTTCTGCCTCCTCTGTGTTTGGCTCTTGTCTTCAGTCTGTTAATGTGCTATATTACTGACAATTGTAACGGTTGAACGTGACTTGTTTGTTTTTTATTTTTTCGTTTTCATACATCTCACTTTATATGTTAATGGAAAAAAGCCTGTACAATGCTTGTGGATAACAAAGCCATAATAATAATGATAATGTCTCTACTTATTATATCTTTGAAGATGATGGTCTCATTTTTTGCTTATATTTGATGCAATATCTATGCAGTCGAGGGAGATGTCTTATTATCTGAACTTTTTGCTGACATCATTGAACATGAAAAGATTAAGAAGCTTTTTATATCACTCTTTGATTTTGATCCATTTTATATTGCAAACGGTTGTCGAGTTATACAGCTTGTATTTAAGAAATAAAATATTAAGCATTTTCAACAAGTTTGGAGGCTTTGAATGATTTCTTTTGTAGTGAAACCTGATAGCTGAAATAACTGTATTATACAACATGATCAAGAAGGTGGTTTCTTGCTGTAGTACACTGTCATTGGTTAGTCTATTAGCTGGTAGAAACCTTGTTTCTCTGCTTTCAAAAAAATGTCCAAAATAAATTTATATACATAAACTGACTGACCACTTTAATAAGTACACCTACCGTGTAGCTACACTCCTAGTCCATTTTATCAGTTTCTATGACCATGTACCATATACATGTACCATGTACAAGTGGATCAGACATGAGTTTTTAAACACGGGGTCCACTCACTGTCCACTCTATTCCACACACCTACATTGTTGGTCCACCTTATAGATGTAAAGTCAGAGACAGTAGCTCATCTGCTGCTGCACAGTTTGTGTTGGTCATCCTCTAGTCCTTCATCAGTGGTCACAGGACGCTGCTCGCAGGACACTGTTGGCTGGATAATTTTGGTTGGTGGACTATTCTCAGTCCAGCAGTGATACTGAGGTGTTTATCCAGCAGCACTGCTGTGTCTGATCCACTCGTACCAGCACAACACATACTAACACACCAGCACCACATCAGTGTCAGTGCAGTGCTGAGAATGATCCATCACCTGTGAGAGTCCTGACCATTAAAGAACAGGGTGAAAGGGGGCTAACAAGGTATAGAGAGCAACAGATGGACTACAGTGAGTAATTGTAGAACTACAAAGTGCACCAATATGGTAAGTGGAGCTGATAAAATGGACACTTGAGTGCAGAAACAAGGAAGTGGTTTGAAAGTTACGGCTAAAATAGCTTAGCATGAATTACAAAATGCAAGTACAAATCCCTCAGATTTCCTTTAAGTAAAATCACTGAATTGCGTAGCTAATAAGAACACTGATGTTTCCGTTTTTCCTTTAGCAAAATTTCTCTGGTAGGTTTAATAGTTTGCTTAATAGAAATGATTTAGCTAATAAATGTAGATATAAGCTAATGTTCACTAGCTGGCTGTAGGCTGATCAACTGCTAAAATGTAATTTAACAACATACAAGGGCAAAAAAGTACAAATAATAATTGTACAGGAACTAGAAATAGAATAGAAAAAATGGAAAAAATTAAATAGGAAAATAGAACCAAAAATAATTGTACATTCACTACAAAGCTTTTATTTTGTGCACTTGATACACCAAAGGCAATTGTTGAATAAGGTTAAAGATGTGAGAAATGAGAAAAATCATTCCAGAAAACTTTGCACTACAGTCCCGAAGAAAAAGGATACCAGGTTTTATTATAGCAGTGGCAACAAAAATAATAATAACAATAATCTGGTCAAATATCTGGGTTAAATTTGTTGTCATAAATGTACAAAGTTTAACGTTACAGACCTGAGCACGTCGTGCTTTTATCTTGTCGGGTGATCTCCCGCGGTACGAGTTTGACAGTGTTCATGTTTACATGGCGGAAGGCGGTAGAGGCCCTTTAGTTTCAGTTTTCAGAGAGAACTTTCTAGACGTTCAGTCACGGAAAGAGCGCAATCATGGCGAGCGACAGGTAGACAACACGCTCCCAGACCTCCCGAATACCTCGCTACAGCACGCCTGTTAATGACATATCACTGACATTTTTTCTTGTTGCAGGAGTTTTACTGACAGTTTCATAGATGAGGACCCGAAACGAGCTCTTGAGGTAATGCTATTAGCCAAGCTAGCTAACGTTAGCTAGCCTGTGTTGCTGGTTTTAAAAAGTCGGCTTGCTAGCTGGCTAACTCGCTTAGGACCGTTAGATACAGGACCTGAAACGTACAGTCTACCTTAATATAACATAGAAGAAAAACCGCTAACGGACTAGCACTGCCTTTATGTAGCACGATCTCCTTCAACCTGAATTGACTGGATGGGGCTAATTAACCGCCAGCTTCTTGTTCGAATTTTCACGTTCCACCTTAAATGGGGCAGAAGTTAACGTTACATTGTAGCACCAGAAAGTAACCGCCGCACCGTTTAAGGTGGAACGGGACAATTGGAACAGGAAACGGACTTCAGCCTCATATTAAGTGGCTGCTAGCTCGCTAGCCGAGGTTGGACAAAGTAATCTAGCTAGGTCTGCAAAGTTGTCCGTGTTTATGTGACACTTTACCAGCTTCGCGGTGTTTAGTTGTTAAATACTAAGCATTTAATTAGCTGGTTTACATGCAAGTCTTGGTGTTGTCGTGTCTAGCTGTAGCTAATATTATTAGCCGGCTAGTTTGCTTTACCTGTGTTAGCTAACTAACATAGCTGTGTAAACTCGCTTTATGTCCACGATCACAACGAATTCACGTTTCATCTAGAAAATTATCAGGTATCGTTAACGTTACAGTGGACAGCAGATATGTTCACTCACTGCATGCACACTGTGTGGGCAGCGAAGTAGCTAGCTAGCTAGGTTAGCTTAGCTACCGTTGCTCAGATCCAGAATATTCCACGTACAGCTGTGCTGGTCAGGTGGTTTGTTGGGTTAAAATATTAATGCTGTCCCTTATTATTGCCTCACTTTAATATCTATTTCCAAGCTGACCAGTTCTGTTGTATCTCTAGGAGCTGAATGTGGCTTTAGGAGAGACAGCGGACAATGCAGAATGGCTCTGTCAGCGAGCTTACGCACACATCCTGCTCCAGGACTACGACAGTAAGTTGTTGTGCATGCTACGTTCTCCTTTTCAGTGCGTTATTTTGTCGTGTTTAAAGTGGTATTTAAAATTTGTCGTAGCCTTTTTAGAAATTATTGTAATTTACAATTCACAAGGAACATAACGCATCTTTATGCATTTGCCTAAAAAGGATTCTTAGACTTGTAACAATAGCAAAACCATTATTGGTGCTATACAGACTCTTTTTAAAAGGTTCTTCAAAGCACCATGCAACAGGATTTCTAATCACGGAGAAGTTAACTATGCAAAGAACCATTAGATTTTTTAAAAGGTGTTTTTGTCTCTGGCTTGCTGTTTATGCACTTGGTCACATGTTTATAGATCTGGCTTGCTGTCTGTCTGTCTATTGATCTGTCTGTCTGTATTGGATATACACATATAGATTTGTACATTTTATCCTATATTACCCATATCATTCACATGGTATATGGCCTTTGTGTATCCTCAGGAGCAGCTGATGATGCTAAGAAAGCACAGCAGCTTCAGCCTGGTATGGCTGTTGCCTTCTTGAGAACAGGGTAAGTGTGCCTGTTCTTGAATTTCCGTTCTGAATTTTTAATTGTACTGTTATTTTATTTTTTTTTATAATGACCAGTCATTTTCAGCTCTGATTTTTTTTTAAAGTGGTGCCCTTCATTAGTTAACATAACCTCTCTGTTGGGGCTTAATTTGCAACAACCTATTCAGAGTATATTTTTCTTGCCATATGCTCATATTTGCTCTCTCCAGAATTGCAGAATATCATCTTAATAACATCAGCGCTGCACACCAGGCCTTTACGACAGGAAAGGAACTAGATGGTAGGTTTGTGCATACAGAGGATGTATGCATCACATGTTTACAACACAAAAAACACAAATAAGGGGAATATAATAAAGATAATTCATCAGTTTTAGAGACCAAGCTGAACTTGTGAAAGCCAAGTATTCTGAGAGATCATTCCTTTGACCATCTTATGCTTATTGGACATGATATATAAAAATCATTTTTTTCAGTACCGAGTATATTGTTTCTTATTGTCACTGACTGACAAGATATTCTCTTTGACAAGTGTGGTGAACCCAGGTGGGATAACGGAAAAGAAGTACTGAACCAAACTAAAATTTTTCTACCAAGTTTAATTTCTGTTACAAAGGCAGTTACCATATTCATTTCAGCAGTGAACTTTGTCCACAGAAAAACTGGGGTACAATGCACCAAAGAAATGAAGAGGTTTGTGATAGTCTTTCAAATAAATGTGTTAAATTGAAGAGGGAATACGTTAAAATTGGTGTGATATATACGCACTTAAAGTTGTATGTGTTTAGAGCATTAGAGCCAGGGAAACTGTTTTGAGAAAACCATACCTATTACAAACTGTTACAGTAGCCTATAGTAATCCAGTGTAGCATAACTGGTAGTCAGTGTGAAATCTTCAATGTACACTTGAATTTTAAAGTAATTTTCAAGTTGAATTTTTTATGAAAAAACTTTGTTAGACAGTTAACTGACAGCATAATCCACCATAGTTTTTCATTTGGGTAGAAATGGAGCCAAGAAATAGAGTCTTACTAAGCCAGGTATTTTGCTCCATCTATACGAAATGGAAATTCTCTTTTATGGAAAACATACTTTTTTTAGGGGAGTTTTAGCTGAAATTTCCATTTTATTCATATCAGACGAGGCTGTCTTAAATCTGCAAGTCTATATGAGCATCTTCATTTAAACCTGGATGTAGTGCTCGTAAGACCTTGTATCACTGCTTTAATGTTTGTTTGTATTTCACAGATTCCAATGAAGCCTTTCAAACGTGGATCAAGCTTTGTGAAGAAAGAATGGCGAGTAAGTATAAACAAAGTTTCTATAGGGAAGTCTGTCCACTCAGCGGCCATCTTGGCAATGCTGCCGGGCAGTTACTTCCAGTCATACAAGACCAGACTCCTATTTTTTAATGGGGATAGAACTATACAACTGAAACTGGAGGCTAAATTACTGTATCAAAACATATTTGAAATTACTGGTAAAATCTGACAAAAACCTCATTAATAGTTTTTAGTGTTTAGTTCAAATAACACAAAAAGTTGTCTGCTTAAATTGTTAATTAATTTTGGGTATGCAGAATCTATAGACAGTTTATCGACAGCAATAGTAATAAATAAAATAAATTTAGCAGTGGTAGTAGTGGTGGGTGATTTGATGTATAAATTATAGCCAGTTATTACAACTAATAATTCAGTCCCTTATTTGTAGCTTGTGCTTGCATTAAATAAACTAATGTGAATAAATTATTGTAAGAGCTAGCAGTAATATTCATGTCTAATTTAGCTTTGCCATGGCTATGAAAAAGAAATGGTGCATCCATGTTCTAACTTGTCTTAAGTACAATGTACTTCATATACTGATTATAATGTGAACTTGTTTTAAAATGTACAAACAGAACTAATATCTTATTAAATATTTGTATCAGTATCAGAAACCAGAAAGTGTTAATTATTGGTTATCGAATCAGCCCAGAATTTCCATATCAATACATCCCTACTGGATTCTCATTTTCATTTTACAACAGTAATATTATCCTGCCCTATGTACAATGAAACTTGGCCATTGATGGATATTTCGGTATGTGGTTGATATTAGCGTAAAGTGCTGTATCAGATGTCCGAGTGAAGAGCTTCACTTAAAACATAGTAGTTTTTTCAGCAGCCAATACTCAAGGTATCAGTATCGGTATACGGAAAAGAAGCAGTGTCGTGCCATCTGCTGTGATGGCTAATCATGGCAAATGTATAAGAGGGAGTCAGAGAAATTATTTATGCATGTCACTCCTTGGTAATACTATGCACTTTGTCATGATTTGTTCATACACCAACAACAAGTCTCCCATTATAGAAGAACCTTCAGTCTGATGGACAGAATTAATTCACTAAATGCAGTGTTAAAAAAAGAAACAGGCCAAACAATTTGAAACAGTTTGCTGGCAAGTAGTTTGGCTAGTGAGTATGCAAGTAGGTACAATAACTAATTTAGCTGAAGTTGTGAGCTAATCTGTCTGAAATTACAGATCAGCTTTAAATCTTAAACATCAGTTGGATTAGCTGATGCGCTAGCTAGCTAGCATACTTGGTATACAAACTACTGACTAACCAAGCAAGTTATTTTGCCTGTTTCTTTTAAATGCTGCATTTACACCATTTGGTGCTCAAGACTCTATTCAGACTCAAACCCCACTTGACTTGGATGCAAACCGCATAGATTCAAGAATTGAGTCTGACTCGAACAGCAGAAATTCAAGACCTGAATCAGACTCGAGCCCCAGAAACGTGAGGCTTGATTTGGACTCACACCCCAGAGACGCGAAACCCGATTTGAACTCGAACCTCAGTGACTGTAGACTCGCCTCGCATAGGCAATTTATGAACATCTCACCAAACCCTGTTCATGGTGATTAAATTAGTACCAACCCTGAACTAACACACTTAGCTCTACTAGTCAGATGTCTCTAAAACCCTTGATTATTTTGCGTAAAGTCTGAATTAAGGTTAGATTTAGGTTTGTATCTATTTGTCAAAAAAGCTCACAGATTAAACAGCAGTGTGTATTCAATGACCTCCACATCACAATGATGTCCATATTTGACTTAAGCGTCAGAGCGTACCCACTGACCTAACAATGTCAGCAGCGTGCATAAAATATCTCGAACATGGGCTGGCTATTCTTAGACACGGCACACTAAAATGATTGCCTGGGGGCAACAAACAACTGGTAATGCGGTGATGTACAACAACACTGTTGAATTTGCCACCAGCAGAAGCTGAATGTTTTTATTCCAAAGCCATTATCAGTTGTTAGCACAGTGTTGCGCGGCCCATGCCGGGAGCAGCACGGGTGTTATTTTCTAAAACGTCAGCGCTGTTCTGGCTCTTTTGAGAAGGTTTAAGAATCAAGCAGCGTGCTAAAAAGGCCTTCTCTGCAGCTGCAGTCGACTTGCCACTGTCGGTCCCCATGCAAAGTTCCCATCAGTCGCTTTTTCTGAGGCTGAATTAGCGTAGATTTCTCATTAGGGGCTCCCATTAAGACCGCTCGGCTAATGATTGTCGTGTTATTAAGCACTACATCATTTGCAGTAAGTATTCGTGGCATGAAGTGTCTACAGTTGATCAAGGTCTTCCTCCTCCCCCTCTCTTTTCTCTGTTGAGGGTATGGGTTATTGTAGATGCTTACACATTACTTTATGCCATAAGTGACATTTATCGTCTGTCTACTCTTTGGCTGTGTTTTTTTTAATCCCCTCTCCTTCCCCCTAGCAGCCTCTGACTTTTCCATACAGATCAAAACTAGATATGCATGGGGATTTTTTTTTTACCCCTTCTCGCTCCCCCTCTTTTCCCCCCTTCTTTTGAAATGCGACCTCATTTTAGGCGCCATTAATGCGCTGTCGGATGCGAGCTCTGTCTCATACTGTTTATGAAAATATTCAATAATTTATGAGACATAACAGCTTAATACTGGGGAAAAAGACCTCTTAGGCTTATATTTACGCTGGCAAGAAATGCACTCGGAATGGTAAACAGCTCTCAAACTCTTTAAGCGTAGGCGTATAGGCGTCGAAGGAATAGTTTGGAGGCTTAAGACTTGTCATAAACAGACTCGAATGCATTAAAACTACTGTATGAACAGTATTGCCTTTGGAGCATCTTAAATCGAGCTCCAATTTGAATACATTATTTTTTTTTACTCTTAGTGAAAGGGATGGGTGTCAGTTTATATCAGGATATACTTTTGCACACTTCCCTCCAGCTGTGTTTTCATTTTATGATACGCATGAGATGACGGCTAGAGTTATGTTTTTTAATTATGCATCCCCATTTGCATTGAGTTCATGAAGTAGAATGGACCAGCTAAAGAAAAGTTGTGGAAGTGCATTTCCTACAAGAAAATCAAAAAAAGTTGAAATTGAGAGAGCTTTAGTTCGTCCATCTAATTGCTATTTTGTTCTCACTCAACAGCACAAAGCCAAAACGGAACCTCAAATGTGGTATGTATGCTTTCTTTGTATGTTGCTAGGAACGAGTACCTCTATTTGTACAGAATCAAAGTGGGATGGCTGACCCACAGCAACAAATCTGACAAATTCCACCTTTTTGACACTGGGTTATACACATGATGACATCAGCATATGATTACTAGGGTTTGTGAATTACCTAGGGTCTGTGATACACTGGATAAAAAAATCAAATCCCCATCAAATCATTAAATCAGTTTATCTTTTTCGTATTCCTTTTACTCCCCTGATCTGTGTTCCCTCCCTTCGCGTCCCGAGTTTGATTTTCTGCGGTGAATAGCAAACAGACTAGCATCAGCCCTCGGGGGTGCAGCAGTACTCAAAGGATGCTCGGAGCATTCGCGTTGAGGGAATTAACAGTGTAATATGCTTTTGTCCATTTGGGGGCACTGTTGCTCACTTTATATCCTTAAATGCACTCCACAGGAAATTAGGTATAAAAGCTAAAAAAATGTCTCAAAACTATTTTGGGTGGGTTTTCATGATCTGTGTTTGTCTTTTTTCCTCCTTGCTCCCCCCCCCCGCCACACACACCTGGAATGTGCAAACACTCAAATGTGCCTCAATTTCAGGAGCAAACTGCAACCCCGCCTGTCAAGTAAGTGTGATCTAAATTACTGGCTCATGTATTGTGATACTGCATAATGCTATATAATGCCAACAAACGCATTCACTTCCAAATTTTGAAGAGGCTTCTGTCGTGGTCCTGCTAAAAATCAATGAGGAGCTCATGATGTACTTCTTTGTTCCCTCAGACATGACTGGTACCAGACAGAATCTCAAGTCACTATTACCATAATGGTAAAGAATGCAAAGAAGGAGGATGTCACCGTCACCTTTGAAGAAAAAGAGGTAACAAGTGATCTTGCTTAATTTAAATGAAATCACAGAAGAGATGTTCGAGGGGTTCATTCATTTTGGAGTGCAGTAGATTAGTTATACCACGTAACTTAAAAAAGGATCTAGTGTAGATTGGGGTGATCAATCCTAGTCCTAGACATCTACCATCCTGCATAGCTTAGCTCCAACTCTAGCACCTTCAGGTAATGAAGGCCTTTAGGGACATGTGAATATTAGAGGCAGGTGTGTTGGATCTGAATTGTAGTCCTGGTGACCTGCACATTTTTGCATTTTCCCTACTCTGTGCTCCTGACCCAGCACACAAGGAACTTGTTAATTAGTTAAGTGAAGGTGAATCAGGTTTGGTGGGTGAAAACACAAAAATCTGCAGAGTGTGAGGTCGCAAGGACTGGGACTGGGGACCTCTGTCTTAAAATAATAGCTAGATCAACCGTGCTGATGTTTCTAATACTTCAACTGAAGCAGGTAGCCATCAGTTAGCTTGATGTAGGGCTGTCATCTAGACCACTTTTGTTGAGTCCAAGACAAGTTCAAGACTATGACTAGCAGAGACCAAGTCAAGATCAACAAAATTGAGTCCTCTTTAAGGCCAAGCCTGAACTAGTCTTTAACTGCTTTCAGTGCAATGAAATGAAACAGAGACAGAATGATTTGGTTTTGAGTTGCCCGAGTATGAGTCACTGTGTGTTGGTGACGGTTAAAAGGGAAATATTTTTTTTAAATGGACTCTGTTGAAACCAGAGACTAAATTTGCAGTGCTATTAAGACCAAGACAAGTTCGAGTGCAATAGCTATCAAGAACAAGACAAGTCCGAGTGCAGTTGCTGTTGTGAACATCTAGAGACCAAGACCAAACTCAAGTACTACAGTGCTATTGCGATGTCATTTGCATGAGGCTGTTTGATTCACTTTCTTTCATTGTTAGCAAAAGTCGTGTTTTTTGACTGAATTATACTTTTAAACAAAATATTTGTTGCTTCATATTTATATAGGACTTGCTGTTTTGAATGTAGCATTTCAGACATAAAAGCAAGATGGCAGTTTCTTAATTGTTTACCTCTGCATCACCCTTATCTTTTCACAGATCTCCTTTAATCATAATGTCTAGATGAAGATGAGAGATTTCACCCTATCTCTGAGCTTTTTTAATCAATTGCTGGCTGAGTTGAGGGATTTTGTTCTCCATCTCTTGCTGCAGAGGGTTGGACAGGCATTTCACGCGTGGTCACAGTCGCTAACGTGCGGCATGCCACTGTGATACACAATTACACGTGTCTGCTCACAAAGCCTTCAGATTAAAAGAAGGAGGAGTGTGAAAAAAGCTCAAAAGTTATGAAAATAACCACTCAACCTCCTCCTTTTCCCTCCCTCCATCCATCTTATTCCTTTCTGCCTAAAAAAAAAAAAAAAATCAAAGTATCGCCCGTTGTTTGATGTGGCTTCTATAAATTAATTACGGAAAATGTGAGTTTTGTGTAATAATTTGGTTGCAAATGAGATGGAGATGAGATAAAATATGGATGTGGCGCTATCAGGGGAATCTGCCCGCGGGCTGTTTTCATGGCTCCCACTGGGATATCCCAGCAGCCCGTGCGGCGGTAATGAGGGGGCCTCACTGGCTCCCTAGCGGCGCCCTGACGGTGCATCGTCTTCCTCTATGACACACTAGCTCTGTAAAGCGGGGGAGAAATGAGGAGGGGGAGTAGAAGGAGAGGAGAGGGGGCGTGAGCAGGAGGCTTAGAGTTGAAGGGAGCCTCAAAGCGAAGCCGCAGGAGGGGTTTCGGGGGCCCTGGAGCCAGGGGCTTCCTCCATCTCCTCTTCTTCCAGTGCGTCATGTGCTCACGGGCATCAAACATGCCCCCTGGCTTCTCCTTCTCCAGGCCTGCAGTGATGCCTCAGTAGAACAAAGTTTTCACGTCTTGCCTCGCTTATATTTACAGATCTTTAATCTTATCGACAGCAGCCGCTACTGCTCTGCAAGGCAAGAACTGCTGCCAGTTGTGTAAAATGGCCAAAAGGGTTTGTAGACGTTGGGCACAGGAAGTCGAGTAGGTGTTAATTGAACATTTATATCAAGTTGTTTTTCTCGATGTGTCTTGCTTCTGTTAGAATACTAATCTCCCAAGTCATCAGCCCACCTTATTTGAAACTGGTGTGTTATAGACCTTGTTTAGCTGTACACTTTGTAGTCTAGTCTGACAAAATGGTAGCAAGGTGTCATTTATGTTTTGTTTTTTTTTGTTTTTTTTCCCCCCTCACAGTTGAGAGCAGACGTGAAGCTTCCATCTGGAGAGGATTACTGCCTACATATCCACCTTCTACACCCTGTGGTTCCAGAGCAGAGCACTTATAGGATCCTTTCCACTAAGGTCTGTCTTAAAGAGTCAGTCATAACTAATGTCAATTTTTTGAAGTGTAAACATATTCATATACAGACAGATGACAAATTGAAGAAAAAAGTAACCTTGAGTGTCTTAGTAAGGTGCAGAACAGCTTGGCATAAATTATACAACTGGAACTGTACTGGAGGGATGGAACACCATTCTTCCAAAAAATGTTCTCTCAATTGATGTGATGATGGTGGTGGAAAGCGCTTTCTAACATGTCAAATGAAAGTAGAAACGTTTCTTCATAGGATAAAGTTGATCAGAATGTACTGATTTGCAGTGACTGTTTCCTCAAGGTGGACAAGTCAGCCTTGCCAGCAAAACAGAGCTGCTTGAACCCCTCACCGTAGGGGTCAATTATTCAGGCCTGTTTCTCTCGCCACACATACACTCGCCCACTTGTGGAGAATATGGTGAAGAATGACTCATCCGATCATATCACTTTTTTCCACACCTTTTGTAGATTAGAGCCTATGATTTTTGCACCACTGACCTCTCAGATGGCCATTTGTCTTTGTAATGAGGGATTTATGCACTGCAACCCTGCTATAATGCCCTTTTCTGTATAGTTTTAGACGGACTGCTCTTGCTATCACAGTCTGATCACATCCAGCAGTGACATTCTCAATCAAATGAGGAACAGTTGCTCTTCTGTTTTCCTTACACATCACACCAATGTGCAAGCATCAGTCATTGAATGTGCACTTTTGACTACAATTTCCAGCACTATTTACTGATGTCTTTCCCATAGATTTAAAGGCAGATGTTGGTCATTGTTCCTATTCAAACACCAGCCAGTGACACATTCTTTGTTGCTGAAGCTCATGAAATCCGTGTCCCAATAATGAACGCTCTTTCAGAGTCATTTAGAGCTTTTCCTCTTGCCGTCTTGGTCTAATTTAAGGTCACCTGGACCTGCTCAGCGTTTTTATACATGCACAGTATGATAGGATATTAATTGCTTAATTGTATCAGTCAGTACACCTATTTGGAAGCATCTGCACCTGTTTCTCCACTAATTTATTCAACTTTTTCCCTAAATTTGTCACCCGTGTGTATATGTGTAGTTGTAATTTGCTAATACAAGTGACTTCTTCAGTTCCCAAATTATGCCTGAAAAAAGCTCTTTTTCTAGTCACACCTTGGTCACTTCAAACCTTAATGTAATAGAGGGTCTTCTGTTATGTTAATGTAGACCTTCTATATGTTGATGTGTCCAACTCTGATGCCTTTCTCTGCAAATATATAGTGTGTGTTAACTACCTTCTGCTTATTTTGTGAGGTTAATTTATGGGCATTTGCTGAATATGCCTCCTTCTCCTCCGCATTACCCACCAGACCCCACCTCCACACACACATCTGCGATCCTCCTGCTAATGGGCCCTGTTTTCTGATTATGCCAAGAGGGCAGAGAACAGCAGCACTCAAGGGTCAATGTACTCTTTAAACTATTCTACTTTTTTAGGAGAAATAATTGGAATTATCAAAGCCTTCAGATTGCTTAAAAAGATACGGAAAAGCATTCTTAAAGCATATGGTTCATATGTCAACTTAAGTCTAAATGCATTTATATGCCGCCCAGCCTGTATCTCCTTTAAATGGCCCCATGACAAATGGTTAAAGTAGCATAGCAGCAAAGGGAGGTGATAAGCTGAGCGTGCACTAATGTGCGCTTATAGACCATTAGAAGCTGGCCGCTCTCATGTTAACGAGTTACTTTTGAAGATGTAATTGCTTTACAGTTGGGTGGGTCATCCTGGGTAGAGTTCACTTGCTAGTTAATGAGAGGGCATCCCAGTTCTCACAGGCATGCTTGCACACATTTAAATGTTAGGCTATTTTTGTTAATGAAGCGAACAAATACTCCATTTGCTGCTCTAGATGGACAGTGTTGCAGATTTAACTCTTACAAAACATGCCATACATGCCTGTTTATGCAGCCATGTTTACTAAAGATGTGGCCAATAATGTCAAAAATACAATGAGATATTTTAACACTACACAACGTTTATCTGAATACTACGTTTTTCAGAAGATTGCAAAGTCAGAACAGACAAGTGCACCAGCAGTGCCACAAAGGGGCTTGAGAGTAGTGTTGGTTCACTCCATGCACTCAGATTTGAAGGAAAACACCAGCAATTGGCACAGGAGATGAAGACTTTGGTCACTACTAGGGTCAAATTTGTGGTTTATGGCTTGACTTAGCAAATGCAGCTTAGCATCATATGCCTTAAAAGAAGCAAGCAAACCACTGTATTAGTTACAGATTGGTTTGTTAATTGAAGGTACAACAAATTGGAATTCAGTAAGTGTAGAAATTAGGGCTGTTAAATGATTTAAGTAATTAATTGTGATTAATTGCCTTCTTTTGTGTGGACAATTGTGATTAATCATAGTCTCATTTGCTCAAGTTTGACCCAAAACTATTATTTTTCTCATTTTAAAAGCAGTGTATTCTGTTATAATTATATAAGTGGACAGAATAAGCTTCAATCAATAATATTATTTTCCATTCATACAAATGCAGGTTTAACATGAACCTGAATATGAAGTCTACAGAATTACTGAAAGTGCTGCATCACTGGTATATTTTGCTAGTAGATTATACTTGTACTTCGGTGTTAAATTCATGCCATTGCAGTAGCTGGAAATAGATGGTTCATAAGATTAAAGTAGGAAAATGTGTTAATGTTAAAATGAGTGGTGTTAACATCACATTAATGCTAACTCACTTAATACAGTGGACCAAATTTAGTGAGAATTAATACTGGACAAGTTCTCATTACTTGTAAAGTAATCTCAACATTTGTCCACCAGGGGTTTTGGAATTTTTCTTGAATCTCCAAAATGTCTTATTTAGCTCTCATTTGGCTTTTAAGACTTAGGCTTTGTAACAGTGCATGTCCAATAGTGTACTGTCCAATAGTGATAATACATAATGTATAAACCAAATGGAAATGTTTTGTTTATTATAAAAACATGACAAATAGGCAAAGTCCCTCTGATAGTAGGTCGCCACTGTCGCACTGTGATGTCATAGGGTTGCAGTATACTCAGTTCACTAAGAAATAAGAAAATAAGGCAATCAGAAACGTTTTTCTCTTGGGTAGTGTCACATTCTAGCTAAAGTTGGAAAGGCTGAATGATATATTTGATTTAAATTAGATATTAAGCTCGCTGTTTCTTGCTCAATGGACAAAAAAGACAGCAACCATTTGATGGTGCAGCAAAATGGCAACATACTAGTAGAAGAACGTTGTCTATTTTAATAACAAATTCCGCTTGGTTTATGCAAGATATTCTAATGGTATCGGACATTGAGGCTCACGTGTCTTAACAGTCAGGGTTCCCTTTAAATGAGCATAAACAGACCACCTATCTTCCTTGCCTCACATTCACCTAATGGTCTCTGCTTGGAGTCATTGCACCCTCTTAGTTTTCCAATAGCTCAATGGCATTGACAGTGTTACCCAAATGAAACTCATTTATTGCGAGAAGACACTCCATTGACTGAAAACCTTCAGACCTATTTTTACTGGAGTTCAGTGTTATTTAATACTAGTAGTTTTGATGGACTGTATCAAAGGTGCAGCCATTGTTGTTGAGTAACTGTTGAATTTCTAGCTTGGGTGGAACAAACAGATTCCACAGTATACGGCAAATAAATGGTCTCAGTAAGAGAGCGCACACACGCTCTAAATGTTTTGCTACCAGACTGCCATATTCATCGAGGGAGGGCTCTCTGGACCCTGGACCTTGTGCCATGGCAACGGTGGAAAGAAGTGCATTCCATGGGTGTCTGCATAGGGTAGTGTAACAAGGGCTCTGTTTAAACATGAGGACTAGAGGGGAGGGAGGCGAAACTCAGGCTTCTTCAGGAGACTCCTGGCACACAGTTGACCCCCAGTGCACCCCACCCCCCCACCAGTGCTACTCACATGTTCACTCTCTCTCTTACTCTCTCGCTCTTCTCTCCTGATCGCTGGACTAGAGCCCTCACAAAGCCCCATTTGTTCCCAGGTCCACTGGGCTCCTCTGGAGCACCTGGATTTAGAAAATACACCGGCATGGCACGTTGCTCAGCACTAACCCGCCAGCGTCAGACATGGCCCACAAGCACATGCTATGCATCCTAATCTCCTTTATGCATTCACCTGAATGCATTATTATTGCAGCCATTGTCGACTGCATCCTGTCTGCTCTAGATTTTTGCAGTGCAGTTGCTTTTTTCCAGCATTGCATTTAGCGTTTTGTGCTGTTCTTGCTAAGGGAGCCTCAGTTTTAAAATGAGCCATTCTTTAGATGTTTGCCTGACCGGAATCATTTATCTGCTAGTATGTTTAAGTTTTTAATGAGCATGCAGTGTCATGCACAGTTCTTAGACATCTGAGAAAATGAAATGATGTTAAGGTCATTTATCTGGGCTGTAAACATTTTTTTAGTAAAGTAGTAACATTAGAATAAATACAAATAAACAAACAAAGCACTAACATTAGAATAAACACTACATTGTAATTTTGTGTTAACCATGTCCACTCCTCTCCTTGAGGAAGCCAACTATTTGCAGTTACCATCCAATCCCTAGTTTAGCTAATCAATCCTTCATTAATCCTTCAAAGCTGTCATAAAATGTTGCTGTTTCTGCTGTTTTATCTACTCTTCTACCCATTAATAACACACTGTCAAAGCCAAAACTGCTGAGATTTTTAAACAGAAAAAAACACAAATAGAAATATGTGACACATCAGTCACATTTAACAAGAATGAATGCCTCATGCATATTTTATATAGAGATAGAAAACACTATAGCGCACAGCAAGTGCAGATTTAAATGACTGGCTTTGTTTTTTTTTTTATTGGGCCTTGTACTGGGCCCATCGGGTACATGTGATTAAATTAATTTTGGTCTGCTGCAGATGGAATTTTAACAAATGCATACAATGACTGGAGTGCACTGAGAAGGCTGGAATTAAACCTGTGTT